TAAACTTAGGTTATTATGATGAATGACTGTCGGGTGACATCTTGTTATCATAAAGAGACAATATGCCCATAAGGGACAGTATACAACACTAGGAAGTCTGGTATCATAAAGAGATAACATCCAGGGAAGGGTCACTTTATGTATCTCTACCATCAGGAAGGGGCACCAAAAGGAAGGAGACATTACAGGCTAATTTCTCTGTGCCTTGGGAAATTTCAGATACGGGTTACTACATCCTTACCCTAAAGAAGGCTCACTAAGGCTAATTGGGAAAGACCCATTCTTGTTTTCCCACAGGAATCGCATGTACAGTATTGCTCCATTTCATGCCCCTCATTTCCCCTGTTTGATCCTTGCAAGACTTCCAGTCTGAAACAGGACCACCACTAACTCCTACATATTTATCACTTCCAGCTTTCAGCATCACCATTTTGTTGCTAGGAATCCTGCTGGGGCACAGCCTACAAACAAGTGGTAGGCACTGAAGTAAGTAACACTCTCCTTCGAGGGGGAGGGCTATGCCCCCAAATCACTAGCTAGCGCTGTCCCAAATATAGTTGGGCTATTCTTGAATCCCTGGGGCAACACAGCCCAGTACATCTGGGTCTTTTGCGCCACTTGAGGATCTTCCCACTAGAAAGCAAACAATTTCTGGCTTCCCTCTGCTAATGGGATGCATATGAAGGAATCCTTTAAATCCAAAACTGAAAACCATGCCCCAGAGGCTGGTATGGTTATCAATCGTGGGCTTTAACTCTTTTCTTGCCTCCATCGAAATAGGATATTGCTTCACACGTGGGGTTTGGGCTCCAGGTCTTAAAGTTACCTCCACCAGCACTACATGCTTCGCCCTCCGAAGTGTATCATCTGCCCACACCCATGGTTTGACTGCTGCCTCCACCGTCTCTAGCAGAGACCTTTCACTTTTCACCTCTTGGCATACCTCTATCTTCCATACCTCACGTTTAGACATGGACAGCCACATTTTCTGCCCACTGAATGAAATTGTGGCTTGTAGCTTAGACAAAAGATCCTTTCCTAGTAACAGGATAGGACACTCAGGTACATACAGAAACTGGTGTGTTACTTTCCTCTTGCCAATATGACATTCCACGGCTTGCAACAAGGGAGTGGCCATAGTAGTACCTGACGCCCCCATTACCGAGAACTTTTCTGAGTTTTTTTCAATATTGAAAGAAGAATTTAATACTAACTGGGTTGCCCCCGGTATCCACTAGAGCTGTGCACCTTTTGTCTCCTATTTGGAAATTTACATAGGGCTCAGGGACGAACGGCAGATGGAAGTGCTGACACCCTTGACTCCCCTATTTTTCCTCGGAGAACATCACTGTCTCCAGCCTCCGCTGGGGGCATTCCCATCGGAAATGACCTAGTTTTCCACATTGGAAGCACTGTCTCTCCTTGCTGTGCCTCATGCCACGCCTTCTACCTCTATCTAAGCCTCCTCGCCCTCCTCTTCCGCGGGACCCTCTACTTCCCCCCTTTCTAGGCTGCTCATGCATGGCTGCTGCCAGAAACAGTGCATTCCTTCTTGCTCTCTGGGTCTCCTTCTGTCTGTCTTTTGTAGTTTGCTACTAATGTCTGGGGCTGATTGCCTGATAAAAATCCTATTCACCATCCTCCTGTTCCCCTCCTCTTCGGAGTTAAGATCAGTGTATCTTTCAAAAGCCTGATAAATTCTCTCTAGGAAGTCATTTGGGGTTTCCCTGTCCTCCTGCTTCACTTCATAAATTTTTGATAAATTATTTACTTTTGGGACTTCTTGTCTCAGTGCCTCCACTATAATCTGCTGGTAAGTCTGCAGCCGCTGCAGGTGTGCATGATCCTGTGGATTCCAGTTTGGATGGTTCACAGGAAACAAGGCTTCCACCTCCGGAGCAGCTGCAGCTGCAGCTCCTGCCTGTTGGTTACCTAAGGCTACAGCTGCCTTCCCTTTGGCTATTTTAGTTCCCATGGCTATGACTAACCTCCTTTTCTCACTTGTCAAAAACACATTCAACATTGTCTGCAGGTCCCCCCAGGTCGGGTTATGGGTTCGGATTATGGATAACACCAATTCAACCATTTTACTAGGGTTTTTGCAATAAGGAGGCATATTATTTTTCCAATTATACAAATCAGCAGTAGAAAAGGGAGTGTAAACTAATACCATCTCGGTTCTCCCCTGCCCGGCAGGTACTGGGGTCTGCCTTAATGGGAATGACCAATGCTGAGGGTTTACTGACTCCCCGCACTTCACTGAATTTCTTCACTTTGACATTCAGACCACTGGGTAGAAATCACATCGCATCAACACCCGCCGCGGGCCTTCATGATGCTTTGTTTTAATTAAACAGTCAGATTCCCCTGGTCTGCACCAGTTCTAAGTCAGCTGCTAGCTGTCGGCCAAGGCAGGACAACAGGCCGCCACCGTCCCCGTGAGGGGGTGGGATGGCCGCCGCAGCTGGGGCAATCCATGGGAAGGGCCCGGCTCACCACTCGAATCACCACCGCGCCCCCCCTCGCTGTGGTCAGCTGGGGACTTGAATCTAGATCTCCCCAATTCAAGTCAATTACTACTCTACAACAACCCATTTTGTTATGCTTCACAGATTAAAAGGATTGTTGTGGAATGTTGAATGATAAATCTATTACACTTTCACACTTATAGTCTGCTTCATCAGATTCTGTGGACCCATGTCCATGAAGCTTACGCTGCACTAAATTGCTGAGGCTTTAATTGTCACAAAACTTTTTTTTGCTATAACAGTTAACTGTGGCTATCCTTCTGACAATAGTTCAATTCAGATTGTCATTTGGTTCAATTGTACTAAGATCATAAGTTTTACTCAAGACCCCTTAAGTAAACATCTGGATGCAAGTATAATTTTTAATGCTCATGATCTCAACAGTCAACACTGCCCTTTCTCCGAAATATACATGCACTGTATTTTCTTCTTACATTTAAGCATTCCTAACATTCTTCAGCTTTTCCACCACATAGAAGTGTGCAAAAAATTTCAAATTCAAAACGTTTTGACTGGCACACTTCTGACAGGATCAGAATGGCATCAGAACATTTCCTGAGAGATTAGTACAGTTCGTTTCAAGCTCAAATGCTTTTGAATTTGGAAAGTTTTATAAATGACTAGTGCCTGATCATCTTCACCTAGAGACTAAAAACTAGTGCTAGATAAAATATTTTCAATCTAATCACAGCAAGTAGCAACAGTTAGTAACAGTCTCAGAAAAAGAGTTAATAACACTCTCAGATCTCAGACAAAGTCAAGGAAAGGCTCCTATTTGGATAGGAAACCACTATGAAATCTCAGGCCTGCAGGCTAAACTGGGAAGTAAAAATAAACATTTGGGAAAAAGACAATAGTAAACTATTTCCATATATTGCTAAGAAACTACATGTTCATGTAGCCACTAGAAGTCAAGCTCAATGCAAAGGATACCTTATCTAGTTAGTCTTTATCTCTGAATTTTTAAAATGCCTGCTGCTGTTCTACTATTTCAGAATATTTGAGAATATTAGGCAAACAAGATGTGCTTTATTAAGTTTCATTGATTTTCTTTAACATTTTAAAGAAATCATATCTTAATCCTCTGCTAAAATGTTTAAATACTCATTACTTTTAAAGTTATTTTAGGAGACATAGATTAAAAAATTATTTGAAAACATCTGAAATAATTGGAGAACTTCATTATTGTTATACTTTTATTACATTCTTATGATTAGTTGATCAATTTTCATGATTAATCTCATACTTAGCCTGAGTCTAACAAGATGGCACTATTTGAGAATGGTCAGAATGTTTTCTATAAACTTAGAATTCAGTGAACTGTCCAAGCGTGAAGAAGCCAAACTGCAATTTCAAGACTCACTGATGCACATTTGGTGAAATCTGGCAAGGAAATTTAGATGAAGAAAGGTTTGCAAAACCTTGTTATTTTAGGCTTTATTTTATCTAGACTGAAAATTAGAGTGCAGGAAAAAGCACAAACAGATATAGTATATAAAGCTGTTTCTTGAACTAAGACATGTTTTCTTAAAATTGAAGAAACTCAAGAACAGGAAAAAAATTCACCAGACTGTAGTAAAAAGAGCTTTTAGAATTTATAAACATGATATAAACAACAACAATCAAAAGATCTCCCTGAGATAAAGAAATCAGTTTTCAGGAAGTCTTTGAGGTTAATACAAATGCATTTAAAAGACTGAAAAATAGTATTTTCTATTTTTGATACAGCTTGACTATACAGGTAGTCCTCGCTTATCAACCACTCGTTCAGCACCGTTTGAAGTTGCGATGGCACTGAACAATTGGTACTTACAAATGGTCCTTGAAGTTTTGGCGTTTTAGTGCCCCTGCAGTCATGTGATCACAATTCAGGCACCTGGCTCGCACTTATGATAGTTGCAGCGTCCTGTGGTCATGCGATTGCCATTTGCAACCTTCCCTGATGGCCCCCCACAAGCAAAGTCAATGGGGAAACCGGCAAGGAAGGTCACAAGTTGCTCTGGTAATTCCCCCTGACCTTCCTGCACTTGCATACCACTGTGCCATCCATCCCCCAGCCTTCCTGCGCTCGCACTGCGCCATCCATCCCTCAGTCTTCCTGCACTCACAGGATTTGATGGAGGGATGAGAAATGTAGCATTAAGTTTGAAAATAGAGATAATACAAAACAAGATGACTGAAACCCTCATAAAGCTTGATGTAAAAACATTCCAGAAACATCCTTTTCATGTTTTAATTGCTATGTGACCTGAACTACAGTTAGACCAGCTTTTCTTTACTTATTTCCTGTCTTTAAATTTTCTTGCTCACTACTGTACTACTCTCTTTGTCTGTGCCTTGCATAACATTACTTTGAAAAGGAATAGCTTGATGGATATACATGTATAAGATTTGGAGAAATATCTGCATTTTCTTCTGTCTGAACGTCCTGTGAATACTATGGATCACATGAGATGGAGTATTTAAGGGGAGAGCTTCGCTTCCTCAGGAAATACATTAGAGGAAGGGTTCCTCATAGGGATATTAGGGACACAGTCACAATAATGCATCAACTCCTACTTCAAACCAAGTTTGTAATACATTGCCTTTATTAAGATTACCTTAAATATAATGAAGCATGCAAGCTTTCAACTTATAATCTCTCTGCGGCTGCAATGTTCTAGAAAAAAAAAATAATGGAGAAAATAGGCTGACCATTGGTGCAACTAATTGGTGCAATTAATATCAAAGGCTCAAACATAGCAAGTGTTGTAAGCTAGATGATATTGGTTCAAATCTAGACTACAAATTCCCTGCCAGAAAGTACTACACTGGCTGCTTGATGAATACCAAGCACAATTTAAGCTGACATTATAAAGCCCCAAATGGCTGAGGACTCAAATACTTAAAAGACTGCCTTCCCCAATATTGTTCAACTACGGGTGTGAAAATTCTGTTTTGAGCTTGGAATACTCCCAAAGTGCTTGAAAGTCCATGATAGCATAGGCAATACTAGTACTTTTTTTTTGGAAAGAGGAGAAAATGGGAGACAGATATCCAGAACTAATCTGAATGAACTCCTGAAGCTGAGTCACACATTTAGAATAAAAGAGAAAATACTAAATTCAATTCTCAACTTACTCTGAAAGAAATCAAATTATAATTTGCTGAATGGCAAAGATTATTTTGCAGCTGTAGTCTATAAAAGCAATCAAAGAATATCTTACACAATAAAAGTAGTCTTTTACTTCCAAAGACATAAATCAGGACAGAAGTGATCAATATTAGGCAAATTGAAAATCCTACAATATAGACCTTAGCAATGTGTAGGAGTATGTAAGAAACACTTGCTTTGAATCACTGAAGCAGCCACATCTTTTTCCAGGCTCATGCAGTTCCTCTGTATACTGCTCCCTGGCTATGTCTGCCAATGTGTACATGCATAGCCATGTGGCTGTCATAAGGATTTGAAATAGGTGGTTCGTATGCATTCCTACAATTGAACAGCTCTAGTGAACATTTACCCAGCCTTAGCAGGTTACTTTAATTTTTGCTACCAACTAGTGGGCATCCATATTTAAGCCTAAATTTGGCCTAGCCTTCTTGAAATCTGGAGCAGCCATTTGCCAGAGGGGTATAAGTATATTAACTGAAAGGAACATGAGGAGGATGGCTGTGCTTTTGATCTCCCACATAACACATAGCCTTTCAATTAATTAACTCATCCAGGACAGGACATCCTGGCAAAAAAATATTAAATTAACTCCAATCAATCTGCTAAAGAGCTGTTTTTTTAAAAAATTAAAATAAACTTCCTCTTCTAAATTTCTATTGCTATACCAAAAACCAACTTTGTCATTGACTTATTTTCATTCCAGTATAAAAAGCTTTATCATTTTTTCTCCCTGGGGGTTCACTTTGGGAAGCACAAAATATTCCTCCCTGTCCAGCTGCCAGCATTTACGTCCTATAAATACATTTATACTACATTGCAGTACATTACATTTAATAGTACATAGAACAAAAGATTACTCATGAGTCACACACTCTTCTCAGCAAAACAACTCTTCTTTTTATGTTTGAAGTGCTAAAGAAAAACTGCAGCAAACAGGTCAAAAAACAACAAATTCGAAAATGCCCTTGCAACAAAATGTACCATAGACTGCACCAAGAGCATGAACTGAAGTATGTTCACACATCTAAGGTTAGCAAACTAATCTGCATAAATTATTTTTGCATACTAAAATGTACTCTGAAGTCTCCATAGACAAAAGTGCATGAGATAACACAATGCAGTACAATGAGTATGAATGATAACACTAATGCAAAAACTCCACTGGCCAACTTAGCAGATATTCTTTGCTTTTCAAATGCCCTCACAGTCAAAAATATAAAAGAACCAAAACAATGAACGCAAGCCATCAACATAGAATTTCTGGGTAAAAAACACTGATGACTCATTGAGTTTACCTGGGTATGTGCACTTTCTACATGTTCTTGTTGACTATGGAACTTTCAGAGTGACTTTGAAGATGAAAACATTCATTACATATATTAAAAACATCCTGAATCACAATGCCATCAGGAGTCAAGTGGGTATACACTGCATTGGATACATACCCCTAAACAGCAGATCAATCAAACCAGCATGTACTACTAAGTCCTTGCATTTGTTCAGTGACCATTTGAAGTTACGGTGGCGCTGAACGAAGGGACTTAGGATCAGTCCCTGAAGTTATGGCCATTGCAGTGGCCCCATGGTCACGTGATCAAAATTTGGACACTTGGCAGCCCGCCTGAAATTATGACCCCAGAGGCGCTTCAGCTCCCCCCACCCACCTATCTCCCCCCCAACTATGCCCTTTTGGCCCTCTGCACTCCGCAACCCCTGCCGCCCTAACTGGCCTTCGCTGTCTTCTTGCTCCCACTGCTGCCCAAGCATGCCTGGCCTGGCTCTTCGCAAGGCAGCTGCTGGCCGCACAAGGCTTTCTTCCCAAGGCCGCGCACAGGGGTTCCCTCAAGAGACCTTGGGAAAATGGCCTCACGTGGCCAGGAGCTGCCTTGTGAAGGGCCAGGGAGGGTATGCCTTGTAAGCAGTGGGAGCAACAAAATGGCAAAGGTCAGCTGGGGCAGCAGAGGGCAGGGCAGCAGGAGCCTTGGAGTGCAGGGTGGCAAGGGCGACTACGGCTGGGAGTGGCCTAGGATGGCTGAGGCTTCCTGGGACGGCTGCGGCTTTGTGCCATGCTGCTGGGCATAGGGCTTATCGAGGCAGCTGAGGTTTTACACCATGCTGCTGGGGCAGCTGAGGCTTCTCGGGGTGGCTGCGGCTTCACACTGTGCTGCAGCTCAGGGGCTTCTTGCAGCTCCAGAGTCATGCTGTTCTGGGGCTGCTTGTCACCCCACAAGGCAGGGTGCAGGGTGGCTCAAGGGCAGAAATGGGGGAGAATAGGCAGTTGGGAGAAGTTGAAGGGAAGGTAGTCCCTTACCTTGGAAGAACCAAGCCTGGAATGGCTTGGATTGGGGTAGGTCCCCGGCTAATGACCAGTGGAATTTGGTTAACAAGGGCAATGGGGAGTGCTGAGATTTCCTTTTTTTTTTTAAAGTAAATTTTATTAAAAATTTTAAGAAGAACATAAAAACTGTCACGGTGGGCTCAGATTCGGAGTCAGAGGAGGAGACCGATAATCAGTCAGCTCCAGAACTGCCCACAGACAATGAGCCATCAGCTTCAGAGGCACCAGACGAACTACCATCTGAGCAGGCAGAGGAGGCGGGGCTAGCCAGCAATCAGCAGACAGCTGCTGCCACTCTCCAAAGATGGAGAAGAATTATCGCACCCTCCCAATGCAAGGAGCTCGGTGGGCTGCAAAGAGAGTAAAGGCGCTTTGCAAGATTACTCATGAGGAAGGAGTCTTGCCCTGCCAAATGAGCTACACCAAGGCTGCTTCTATTAAAATGGAGCAGCAGTTCAACTTCTCTGTTGATGATAACCATCTGTTAACTCCTGCTCTGTGCACCTTGATTCTGAACCTGAGGACCTCAAAACCTCGACAGTAGATTCAGACTGGCTGACAAAACTTCTACCTAGTTTTGACCTTCAGACTTCGCCTGACTACTCTCTCTCTCTGCCCAATTACCATCATAACTTGAGGACTACCTGTAGTACTTTTTCTACTCATATCACTTGTGTGTGAACTTAAGCAAAGCAGTGCAAGCACATGTGTAAGCACACATGTCACCTTTAGCATTCCATCTGTTTTTGTTTGTTTAAATTTATTTATTAAGGTCACACATATTAAGCCACAAACACAAAATCCAGCTTCCCTACAAAAAAGATAGTAGCTTACCATTCAGGTAATGGTATTATGAATATAGTCTTTTTCTTCTACATGGTCTGCTGGTTAGAGCATCACCTCCATGCCATATGTGTATGCGTGACGAGTCTATAAGAACTTGCAGCCAGTATACCATTTGACCGAACTGGGTCAGGCACTGGATCCAGGAACATCATGACTGGTCATGCATGAAGTAAGTGGGTCAAGACAGTGACGTTGAGGATGGGTGGGGAGCCACTGGAGGAGCCACTGGAGGAATGATGGATGAATCCAAGTGAACTCAGAGAGTGCAGGGACTAAATAAGCCAATGTGGAGCCTCTTCCAATAAGAGTCTCAGTAATACTCAGGAATTAATAGGGACAACCAGGTGAGCCTCGTAGATCTTTGAGCTGGGGACTCAAAGAACTCTATGCCTTGCTCCAACATATGAATATAACTGAGCAAGTACTAACCCAAGTTAGCTGATAACTTATAGACAGATAAGCAACTGGCCATGTCTAGGCAGTAGGTGGGTTTCTGCCAGAGATATGGAGACTGAAGTAAAAGGACATCTGGCATCCGGGGAAGGAGAGGATTATTTTAAGGAAAGTAAGTTGCTGCACCAACTCAGTGTCAAAGTATCAGTGATGGGGTGTTACCACATAATATTCTCTGGAGTATTAAAATTCTTTTTAACTCAAAAGGGGTCTGTTTTGAAAGGCAAAGGAATGAGGGAATGCCTTTCTGTTTCTAACTGAAACCACCATCACCCCACTACAGGTAGTCCTCGCTTAACCACAATTGGGACTGGAATTTAGGTCGCTAAGTGATGAGGTTGTTAAGCAAATTATCATGTGACTGCTTGGCTTAGCGACCACAATCCTGGCAGTCTCGGTTGCCATTGTTAAGGCCCTGGTCATTAGGGTAGGCAACTTCCTGCTGGCTTCCCACAATCAAATCAGGAGGAAGCTGACAGGAAGTTGCAAGCCCCAGGAGCTGCCGGGTGGGGGAGGGAGTGAGGGTGTGTGTGGAGGTATGTGGGAGGGTTGATGAGGGTGTGCGAAGACCTCAGAATGCTTGGATTTTCAGTCCCAGATTTGAGAGGCTTCTGAAGCCTCTCCACTCTGTGGCTGAAAATCCTGCTTGAATTTCAGCTTGGAGCTTTTTCATCCAGCCCCCAGAGACGAGAGGAAGTCCTCTTGGCAGGTGGCAGTGGCTTGCGCCAAGTGCCCCATGATCATGTGATTGCCATTTTCAATCTTCCCTGACAGCTTCCCCAGAAAGTCAATGGGAAAGCTGACAGGGAAGGCTGCAAGCCATTGCCACCTGCCGAGAGGGCTCCCTCTCATCTCTGGGGGCCCGCCGCTTCCAATGCCTGCACCGGAAAAACGCCTCTGGGAGTTTGAGCTGCGGTCCTCCATCGGCCACTTCTCGCTCTGCTGCGC